CACACTGTGTAACACTGTGATCACTGAAGCTGACACTGGCCTCACACTGTGTAACACTGTGATCACTGAAGCTGACACTGGCCTCACACTGTGTAACACTGTGATCACTGAAGCTGACACTGGCCTCACACTGTGTAACACTGTGATCACTGAAGCTGACACTGGCCTCACACTGTGATCACTGAAGCTGACACTGGCCTCACACTGTGTAACACTGTGATCACTGACACTGCTGTGACACTGGCCTCACACTGTGTAACACTGTGATCACTGAAGCTGACACTGGCCTCACACTGTGTGTAACACTGTGATCACTGAAGCTGACACTGGCCTCACACTGTGTACTGAAGCTGACTGGCCTCACACTGTGATCATGGCCTCACACTGTGTAACACTGTGATCACTGAAGCTGACACTGTGTAACACTGTGATCACTGAAGCTGACACTGGCCACACACTGTGTAACACTGATCACTGAAGCTGACACTGGCCTCACACTGTGTAACACTGTGATCACTGAAGCTGACACTGGCCTCACACTGTGTAACACTGTGATCACTGAAGCTGACACTGGCCTCACACTGTGTAACACTGTGATCACTGAAGCTGACACTGGCCTCACACTGTGTATGTGATCACTGAAGCTGACACTGGCCTCACACTGTGTAACACTGTGATCACTGAAGCTGACACTGTGTAACACTGATCACTGAAGCTGACACTGTGTAACACTGTGATCACTGAAGCTGACACTGTCCTCACACTGTGTAACACTGTGATCACTGAAGCTGTACACTGTGTAACACTGTGATCACTGAAGCTGACACTGGCCTCACACTGTGTAACACTGTGATCACTGAAGCTGACACTGGCCTCACACTGAAGCTGACACTGGCCACACACTGTGATCACTGAAGCTGACACTGGCCTCACACTGTGTAACACTGTGATCACTGAAGCTGACACTGGCCTCACACTGTGTAACACTGTGATCACTGAAGCTGACACTGGCCTCACACTGTGTAACACTGTGATCACTGAAGCTGACACTGTGTAACACTGTGATCACTGAAGCTGACACTGGCCACACACTGTGTAACACAGTGATCACTGAAGCTGACACTGGCCTCACACTGTGTAACACTGTGATCACTGAAGCTGACACTGGCCTCACACTGTGTAACACTGTGATCACTGAAGCTGACACTGGCCTCACACTGTGTAACACTGTGATCACTGAAGCTGACACTGGCCTCACACTGTGTAACACTGTGATCACTGAAGCTAACACTGTGTGGCCTCACACTGTGTAACACTGTGATCAACACTGTGATCACTGAAGCTGACACTGGCCTCACACTGTGTAACACTGTGATCACTGAAGCTGACACTGGCCTCACACTGTGTAACACTGTGATCACTGAAGCTGACACTGGCCTCACACTGTGTAACACTGTGATCACTGAAGCTGACACTGGCCTCACACTGTGATCACTGAAGCTGACACTGGCCTCACACTGTGTAACACTGTGATCACTGAAGCTGACACTGGCCTCACACTGTGTAACACTGTGATCACTGAAGCTGACACTGGCCTCACACTGTGTAACACTGTGATCACTGAAGCTGACACTGGCCTCACACTGTGTAACACTGTGATCACTGAAGCTGACACTGGCCTCACACTGTGTAACACTGTGATCACTGAAGCTGACACTGGCCTCACACTGTGATCACTGAAGCTGACACTGGCCTCACACTGTGTAACACTGTGATCACTGAAGCTGACACTGGCCTCACACTGTGATCACTGAAGCTGACACTGGCCTCACACTGTGTAACACTGTGATCACTGAAGCTGACACTGGCCTCACACTGTGTAACACTGTGATCACTGAAGCTGACACTGGCTGAAACTACACCAACTCCACCAAAACAAACACGTCACCTTCCTTGGCCCCGACTTCCAAACAAGCTACACACACAGTGGAACTGGGAGACCAGATCTCATCCTCACCAACAGAGCAGGCACCCGCCTCCAACACTACATCACACCCGGACCCCTCACCGGCTCAGATCACATACCCATATCACTCACACTCTCCAGCAACCCCATACTCATCCCAGCCACCCCACAATATGACTATCAAAATGCAGACTGGGAAGCCTTCAAACAACACCTAACTGCCAGCACACAGCCCTACAACTTCCAAGACAAACCACACACAGACATAGATTCCCAAATCCTCACCATCCAGAATAACATCATACAAGCAGCTGATGCTACCATTCCAAAAACTACCCACAAAACCAGATACTCCTTTTTTCCTTCGATCAGAACAAAAAGGCTACTCTCCTGCTATCACAACAGATTCACCCACAACCTTCACAGATACAACCAAGTAAACACAGACCTCACTATACTCAAAAACCACACACTCAACAGCCTTGACCAAGACCATGCTAACCACTGGGAGAAACTCATACATAAAGCTGAAATACAAAGAAAAACAACTCCACAACAATTCTGGAACTTCATAAAGAGGATCAGGGGAAATTCCTCCTCTTCTGTCTTTACATACATCACTCACAACAATCAAAACTACACCGATCCTTCAGAAGTAGTAGACATATTCAAACAACACTGGCAGGACATCTTCAATCCCCACCCCCCACAGCCAACAGCAATACAAAACATAAACAGAGTAGAAACATGGATCCGGCACAACCCTCAGGCCATCACACACTACCCTACCATTGACCTCACGAGACTAGACGACTTAGAAAGTGACCTCACAGAATCAATACTACCTGAAGAAGTTAAACTCATGCTTAAGAACACCAGACGTAAAGCCCCAGGAGCCTCTGGCATTGGCCAAGCTCTCCTCAAGCAACTTCCAGACCCCCTAATTTTTGCACTCACAGACGTCTACAACGCCTCACTAGCATCAGGATATTTCCCTAACCCATTCAAAGAAGCCACAGCAATCCTCATTCCAAAACCCAAAAATCCCCGACAGGCCCTAAGAACTACAGACCGATCAGCCTACTAGAGACACTAGGAAAAGTATACGAAAAACTCATTAATCAAAAACTCAGGAATCACCTAGAACGCAAAAACATATTGACAGACAAACAATTTGGCTTCAGACAACACCGCTCAACACAAGACGCACTGAACATAATAACAAACTACCTCTCCATAAATAAGCACCAGAGGGCCAAGACGGCCCTCATTGCAAAGGACGTCGAAAAGGCTTTTGACACAGTATGGCACGACGGCCTACGTTACAAACTCTGCACTCTATTTCAACTATCTGACAACATGCAGCGGCTACTTTGCAGCTTTCTAACAAATAGAAAGATGCAGATCAAGTTCCTCAGCAAGCTGTCAGGTTACTTCAACCTAAATGCAGGTGTCCCCAGGGCTCAGTTCTCTCACCAACCTTATACATACTCTATATAAACGACATTCCTGACCCAATATACTGGACATCAATTACCCTTTGCTACGCTGACGACGTAACCCAACTGATCTCGGACTATACGATTAACGCCCTCACACGGAAAGCACAGCAAGAAATAGACAAAGTCACCCTCTGGGAACACGACTGGCGAATAAAAAGAAACCCCAACAAGTCTAAAATCACATACTTCTTCTACAACAAACGACGTAACCCTGACCCAGTAAAACTCTACTCTCAATCACCAGATGCAACCCAGATCTCAAGAGTCAACAACACCACAGTACTTGGACTCACATTAGACTTCAAGCTTCGCTTTCACACACACATAACACCCAAGAAAGCTATAGCCTCAAACGCTCTATCAAAACTCTTCCCACTCAAACATGCCTCCCAAGCCACCAAGCTCTATCTATACAAAACACTTATTCTCCCACTCCTAACAAATGCACCGATCCCACTCTCACTTGCAGCACCAACAAATAGGAAGAAACTCCAGCGTACCCAGAACAGGGCTCTGAGATGGGTGTTCGATACCCACTGGCAGGACTTCACCACTAGTGAGGCCCTGCATGAGTGGGCGAACATCCCACCTCTGAACATAACCTGGGATACTATGGGGAAGAAACAGATTAATAGAATTCTCACCTATCATGACAACTACGACGCGTTCCTCAGAAACGTCCTAAGCAGACCCAGACATACGCACAACCTCTTTAACCTGATCGACGATCCACCTCCTGGTCCGTCCTTTTCATGACCCCTCTCCTCTAATATACCACTACTCAAATCACCAAACTTCCAACTATAGCCTCCTAACTCTTCTCCCCCCCCCCACCTCTTTAGGGGGGGGGGGACCAGCTAGCTCCCGTTTTCTGGTGTCTTGGGTGGGGCACGATGCTGATTAGCAGATCTAAGACCACATCTGGTGTGAGCCTCCAGGGCACACCCAGCTGAGGGCTGCTATCTCCGTGGGTGCTCAGAAAGACGAAACGTTGTCACAAAGATCCGATTCCTAGCCTTCATTGCCTAGTCTGGTCATAACGATTTCAATGCCATGCAGCTGGGTCTAGCCCTGGCACTTTACCTCATACTGAAAACCCTTCCTCTCACCCCCACTAATTCTTCCCCTATCCCCACTTCCACGCTCACCCATTAGGGTATCTTGACCTATATTTAATTCATTCATTCATTCTAACTTACTAAAACATTTAAAAAATTTAAGTATAATACCAGATAATTATAATAGTTAGATACGTAAATTTATTCTCACTCATAAGTAATTGGTGATAGCTTGGCTAATCTGAACTGAGATCACAGTAGTCGGTTTGTGTAATTAGCTACTGTGTACCACGTTCTGAGGTCACTGATCGTCACCAGTAAGTACGGATTACCTAACTACTGTGCACCGTGTTCCGAAGCCAATGGTCTTCACACAGTCATCAGTAAGTTGGGATTTTTTAGCTACTGTGCACAGTATTCTCAGACCAGTGATCGTCACAGTTGTCAGTAAGTTGGGAGTAAAAAAGTAAGAGTATGTCAGAAGGAGTGCCTCGCTACACCGGCGGGCCTCGCTACACCGGCGGGCCTCGCTACACCGGCGTGCCTCGCTACACCGGCGTGCCTCGCTACACCGGCGGGCCTCGCTACACCGGCGTGCCTCGCTACTCCGGCGGGTCTCGCTACACCGGCGGGCCTCACTACACCGGCGTGCCTCGCTACACCGGCGGGCCTCACTACACCGGCGTGCCTCGCTACACCAGCGGGCCTCGCTACACCGGCGGGCCTCACTACACCGGCGTGCCTCGCTACACCGGCGGGCCTCGCTACACCGGCGTGCCTCGCTACACCGGCGGGTCTCGCTACACCGGCGGGCCTCACTACACCGGCGTGCCTCGCTACACCGGCGGGCCTCGCTACACCGGCGGGCCTCACTACACCGGCGTGCCTCGCTACACCGGCGGGCCTCGCTACACCGGCGTGCCTCGCTACACCGGCGGGTCTCGCTACACCGGCGGGCCTCACTACACCGGCGTGCCTCGCTACACCTGCGGGCCTCGCTACACCGGCGGGCCTCGCTACACCGGCGGGCCTCGCTACACCGGCGTGCCTCGCTACACCGGCGTGCCTCGCTACACCGGCGTGCCTCGCTACACCGGCGGGCCTCGCTACACCGGCGGGCCTCGCTACACCGGCGGGCCTCGCTACACCGGCGTGCCTCGCTACACCGGCGGGCCTCGCTACACCGGCGGGCCTCGCTACACCGGCGGGCCTCGCTACACCGGCGTGCCTCGCTACACCGGCGTGCCTCGCTACACCGGCGGGTCTCGCTACACCGGCGGGCCTAGCTACACCGGCGGGCCTCGCTACACCGGCGGGGCTCGCTACACCGGCGGGCCTCGCTACACCGGCGGGCCTCGCTACACCGGCGGGCCTCGCTACACCGGCGGGCCTCGCTACACCGGCGGGCCTCGCTACACCGGCGGGCCTCGCTACACCGGCGGGCCTCGCTACACCGGCGGGCCTCGCTACACCGGCGGGCCTCGCTACACTGGCGGGCCTCGCTACACCGGCGTGCCTCGCTACACAGGCGGGCCTCGCTACACCGGCAGGCCTCGCTACACCGGCGGGCCTCGCTACACCGGCGGGCCTCGCTACACCGGCGTGCCTCGCTACACCGGCGGGCCTCGCTACACCGGCGTGCCTCGCTACACCGGCGTGCCGTCATCAGTATGTAATTATTACATTGGTACTATGTACCGTGTTTTGAGGCCAGTGATCGTCACAGTTGTCAGTAAGTACGGATAACTTAACTACTCTGTACGGTGTTCTGAGACCAGTATGGTTGCAACCCACAGGAGTTTGGTGACTCGCACCATCACGAGGCTTCCTAGTGGTCGTCGTGTATAAAGAGAAAGAAGGTTTAGAAGAGGAGAGAAAGGGTGCGCCTATAGTCATGACCCATCAACAAATGGTCATCTTCCAGCATCGCACTTCTCTCGAAACAATGAATGATCACAATATATTATGAATGTTTTAGTCACCCTTTAAAGATATAAAAAAAACACTATTGTCTACCTCTTGAGTGAGCGAGGGACATATAATTAAAAAACACTCAAATCATATTAATAATCAATTCTTAGCAGAAATATTATTTCATATACAATTTAAAAGTAATATATAAATTTATGTAAAGTTGTAAAGGGTACGTTAAAATTACTAATTTTTTATGATAGTTTTGTATAAAAACTTGAAAAAAATTAATCAAAAATTTTTAAAATTTATATTTAAACATTGCTCGAATTTCTTTCAGAGCCTTTTTCAGCTTAAAATTTTTTAGTATAATAACTTATAATTATAATAAATAAATTGATTATCAACCATCAGCAATTGGTGATAGCTTGGCTACTCTGAACTGAGATCACAGTCGTCGGTATGTGTAATTAGCTACCGTGTACCACGTTCTGAGCCCAGTAGTCGTCATTAAGTGGAGATCAATTAGCGACTGTGCACCGTGTTCTGAGGCCACTGGTCGTCACAGTTGTCAGTAAGTTGGGAGTAAGAAAATAAGTGTAACAACAGAGTGTCTCACTGTGCCAGGGTGCCTCACTGCGCCAGGGTGCCTCACTGCGCTAGGGTGCCTCACTGCGCCAGGGTGCCTCACTGCGCCAGGGTGTCTCACTGCGCCAGGGTGCCTCACTGCGCCAGGGTGTCTCACTGCGCCAGGGTGCCTCACTGCGCCAGGGTGCCTCACTGCGCCAGGGTGTCTCACTGCGCTAGGGTACCTCACTGCGCCAGGGTGCCTCACTGCGCCAGGGTGCCTCACTGCGCCAAGGGTGTCTCACTGCGCCAATGTGCCTCACTGCGCCAGGGTGTCTCACTGCGCCAGGGTGCCTCACTGCGCCAGGGTGCCTCACTGCGCCACAGTGTCTCTCTGCGCCAGGGTGCCTCACTGTGCCAGGGTGCCTCACTGCGCCAGGGTGCCTCACTGTGCCAGGGTGCCTCACTGCGCCAGGGTGCCTCACTGCGCCAGGGTGCCTCACTGCGCCAGGGTGTCTCACTGCGCCAGGGTGCCTCACTGCGCCAGGGTGCCTCACTGTGCCAGGGTACCTCACTGCACCAAGGGTGTCTCACTGCGCCAGGGTGCCTCACTGTGCCAGGGTGTCTCACTGCGCCAGGGTGTCTCACTGCGCCAGGGTGCCTCACTGCGCCAGGGTGCCTCACTGCGCCAGGGTGTCTCACTGCGCCAGGGTGTCTCACTGCGCCAGGGTGCCTCACTGCGCCAGGGTGTCTCACTGCGCCAGGGTGCCTCACTGCGCCAGGGTGCCTCACTGCGCCAGGGTGTCTCACTGCACCAGGGTGCCTCACTGCGCCAGGGTGTCTCACTGCGCCAGGGTGCCTCACTGCGCCAGGGTGCCTCACTGCGCCAGGGTGCCTCACTGCGCCAGGATGCCTCACTGTGCCAGGGTGCCTCACTGCGCCAGGGTGTCTCACTGCGCCAGGGTGTCTCACTGCGCCAGGGTGTCTCACTGCGCCAGGGTGCCTCACTGCGCCAGGGTGTCTCACTGCGCCAGGGTGCCTCACTGCGCCAGGGTGCCTCACTGCGCCAGGGTGCCTCACTGCGCCAGGGTGTCTCACTGCGCCAGGGTGCCTCACTGCGCCAGGGTGCCTCACTGCGCCAGGGTGCCTCACTGTGCCAGGGTACCTCACTGCGCCAAGGGTGTCTCACTGCACCAGGGTGCCTCACTGCGCCAGGGTATCTCACTGCACCAGGGTGTCTTACTGCGCCAGAGTGTCTCTCTGCGCCAGGGTGCCTCACTGCGCCAGGATGCCTCACTGCGCCAGGGTGCCTCACTGTGCCAGGGTGCCTCACTGCGCCAGGGTGCCTCACTGCGCCAGGGTGCCTCACTGCGCCAGGGTGCCTCACTGCGCCAGGGTGCCTCACTGCGCCAGGGTGTCTCACTGTGCCAGGGTGCCTCACTGCGCCAAGGGTGTCTCACTGCACCAGGGTGCCTCACTGCGCCAGGGTGTCTCACTGCACCAGGGTGCCTCACTGCGTCAGAGTGTCTCTCTGCGCCAGGGTGCCTCACTGCGCCAGGGTGCCTCACTGCGCCAGGGTGCCTCACTGTGCCAGGGTGCCTCACTGCGCCAGGGTGCCTCACTGTGCCAGGGTGCCTCACTGCGCCAGGGTGCCTCACTGCGCCAGGGTGCCTCACTGCGCCAGGGTGTCTCACTGCGCCAGGGTGCCTCACTGCGCCAGGGTGCCTCACTGTGCCAGGGTACCTCACTGCGCCAAGTGTGTCTCACTGCGCCAGGGTGCCTCACTGCGCCAGGGTGTCTCACTGCGCCAGGGTGCCTCACTGCGCCAGGGTGTCTCACTGCACCAGGGTGCCTCACTGCGCCAGAGTGTCTCTCTGCGCCAGGGTGCCTCACTGCGCCAGGATGCCTCACTGCGCCAGGGTGCCTCACTGTGCCAGGGTGCCTCACTGCGCCAGGGTGTCTCACTGTGCCAGGGTGCCTCACTGCGCCAAGGGTGTCTCACTGCACCAGGGTGCCTCACTGCGCCAGGGTGTTTCACTGCACCAGGGTGCCTCACTGCGCCAGAGTGTCTCTCTGCGCCAGGGTGCCTCACTGCGCCAGGGTGCCTCACTGTGCCAGGGTGCCTCACTGTGCCAGGGTGCCTCACTGCGCCAGGGTGCCTCACTGTGCCAGGGTGCCTCACTGCGCCAGGGTGCCTCAATGCGCCAGGGTGCCTCACTGCGCCAGGGTGTCTCACTGCGCCAGGGTGCCTCACTGCGCCAGGGTGCCTCACTGTGCCAGGGTACCTCACTGCGCCAAGTGTGTCTCACTGCGCCAGGGTGCCTCACTGCGCCAGGGTGTCTCACTGCGCCAGGGTGTCTCACTGCGCCAGGGTGCCTCACTGCGCCAAGGTGCCTTACTGCGCCAGGGTGTCTCACTGCGCCAGGGTGTCTCACTGCGCCAAGGTGCCTTACTGCGCCAGGGTGTCTCACTGCGCCAGGGTGCCTCACTGCGCCAGGGTGTCTCACTGCGCCAGGGTGCCTCACTGCGCCAGGGTGTCTCACTGTGCCAGGGTGCCTCACTGCGCCTGGGTGCCTCACTGCGCCAGGGTGTCTCACTGCTCCAGGGTGCCTCACTGCGCCAGGGTGCCTCACTGTACCAGGGTACCTCACTGCGCCAGGGTGTCTCACTGTGCCAGGGTGCCTCACTGCGCCAGGGCGCCTCATTGCGCCAGTAGTTCTCACAGTCAGTAAGTGGGGACCACAGTTACTGTGCACCGTGTTCTTAGGCCAGTGATTGTCACAGTCGTCAGTATGTGGGGGATAACTTAGCTACTGTGCACCTTGTTCTCAGGCAACAGGTCGTCAAAGTCGTATGTAAGTAGGGATCACTTAATATCATTGGGTGTGGAGGGGAGTCGGGAGAGGTTTCTTTATACTTGCACTGAAACTTGGTTATTTGAACCATCCTGATATTCGCTTACCATGGAACAGAGGTCCCCAACTACTCCCTGACAGAACCTCGGTAGCCACACTCCTGCTACCGTCGGTCGACCAGCAAAGAACTCTGGAGTGCTTGCAATTATTTAGGAGATCACCCTGGTGAGCGTCTGGTTCTGGGAGAGGGGTTCAGCGTCACCATTGTTCGGGATTACGGCTCACACTGCCTAGTTGTCATGTGTACACACCCCCTCTTGTGCCGCCGTGACTCCCCGCACTCTCCTTACTGTGGGATGATCTCTCAATCCCCCTCAGTTATAGTCCACTATCACCCATGTTATATCCGAGTCTTTCTCTCTCTCTCTCTAGCCAGGAAGCCTCACCAGGACAAGAGCAAAAGCCAGCTAACAAACATAATAGTTAATACATTTAAACATACACAATACACATAAAGGAAATGGTTATAAAACAGTACAATCACCTCTTAGGCTACTACCAACTGATAACACACTAATGTCACCTTATGTCTCCAGCCTATAACTGCACCAGGCTGCTGCTCGGACTTCAGTCCACAACCTTATGCTTCATTCACTGTTTTAGGGTAAATGCACATTAATGACACTATGTAAAAGACACATCGAACATTTTATGTAGGGCATACGTAAATCTGTGTATCTATGTATTTACGTATGTAGGTTAGCTTAGTATTTTAAAAGCACCGAATCACCTTTTGTGGTTGATTGTTCAATAAACCCTTGAACTATATGTTTAACACATCTCTAACCCTGTCCATGGAGGACAGAAGAAAATTTATATATGCTGATTAGCATTGTAAATGTGTGGCCACGTTTGTGGTAGAAAAAAACTGCTTTAGGCTGCAATACATGACACATATAATATTCATATATTTCCTACTCTACAAAAGCATCAATCTCTCTCCTTGCACTGCGCCTTTCACACCAAAAACACAATCAAGCACTCCCTTAGATATCGAGGTCCATATGGTCCTCTACTCCATTACTCGAGGTCCCCACTACAATCATCATCTGGGTCCTCAGAATATGTAAGGCACTCCTGCAGCACCACCAATCAGTGTAGTCCTCCTTATATGCCAGTGAAGCTCTCGCCAATCGCTTCACACCAACGTCGTGTAGCTCCCTACACAACTCTAAGATTCATTAGGTCCATGAAGTTCCACTTCTCACTGGAAGTCCTACTTCACCTTACAGTATAGCTTGTACTCCTCTGGCACGAAGTTCTCTCACTAACTTCCACCACACAAACATTGTAGCTTTCCCATACAAACGTTGTGGTTCTCCCACACAAACGTTGCAGTTCTCCCACACAAAC